CTCACCCCCCACAACCCCTGAAGACCCAATCTGGAATCAGTCTACAGCGACAACTCTGGTGCCAAGCTTGCCCTGCTGCCGGCCCTGCTCGTGTATATTTCACTGGGTTAGAGACACGGGATGACTGAGCTCTCGACACAAAAACTGATTGCACATCACACTACTTACAGGGCTGAGATGCATTTTGAAGCTGTGAATTGTTTGAGAATATCTTCTATAGTTTTGAAACGCGGGACCAAAATCAATTCAGTTGCATAATGCTGGGAGCAGTAAGTTGTGAAGAGATTGCTTTCCATAGGCACACATTAGCCTTGGAGAACCTTTGTGTACACACCCGCAATTTATTTACACCCAGTGATGTGGTGAATCAGCCGACATTTGTAGTTCCATTTACAGCTGATGTTGTGGATTTAAATTCTGCTCACAACCTTTGTTGCATGTCATCCCCCTCTTTTGGTTTTTCCCCGTCTGTATCTAAAGCATACTATCTGGAGGAGAAATGCCTCAAAAATTATTGTTAGAAATCCCATAATGCATCTTTAAACTGCTTCTCAGCCCAGCCCCCCGCCTTCAAGCGACACTAACCCCAAACCCTCTTAATTCCCTCATCATGTTTATGCAAATTCCATTTGTATGTAATGTGTGTACATAATGGATGCCGCTATCACCTATGGGACAGACCAGCCTTATATATATGCAGGTTTCTCTATTACAGGGAGGCTGATAAAGATTATATATGGAGTCTGCAGAAGGGAGAAATGTGTTTTTAATATTTCAGACGAGATAGGCCTCTAAATCTGATTATGTAAAGAATGTACTGTAACCTGAGGTAGGTTTATATTTAAAGATAGGTTGGCAAAATAATCATACTCCAAAATATTTGGTAGAAGCATTGCTACTATGATCACTCACAACTGGCTTTTTTCACAAAGCTCTCAAATGGTGGTCTGAAAAAGAACTGAGGTGTGTTCAGTCTTTGCATAATTAAAGACCAGGCAACAATTACCAAGACTAAGAGACAGCCATCATAGAGGCACACTGATGCTGTACTTAGGCGTTGCTTTGAGCTAAAGGCTCACATCAGTATGCCAACATGCTAATGTTTTGCAGGTATAATGTTCACTATGTGCTACAGCAATAAATAATTATAGTTGAGACCGATGAGAATGTCATGAGTTTTTGGTCATGAATCAAAGCATTGATTAAAATTTTGACCTAATGATTGTGCTAGAAAAATGATCTTTAGGGGTAAATGAATTTCAGTAAAAAAGAAAAAGAAAAGAATCTTCTTGTAAATTTTGAGATATGTCCCTGGATAAGTGAATCCTCTGACCTGCCAGCGGTGCTACATACAAATTCAGGGCATCACCAATTTAAATAAGATTCATCTTCTTGGGATCATGAGTGTCTTTACCAAATTCCATGGCGATACATCTAATAGTTGTTAAGATATTTAAGTCCAGTCCAGTGCTAGAGCACGAACAGACCAGAGCTGTAATCCATAGAGCCGGCCAAAAAGCTAAACAATACATGGCAGAACAACAACAAATGAGTCAAAATATTCATACAAATACTGTTAATATTACAATATCATTAAACATATCATCAGAAACAGATGTCAGATTACATACAATTTCAAACTGAAACGAAAGCTTCAAATAATTCCTAAATATACGCTTGGGATAAAGTGCTTGTGTTTGTTAGTCCATATAAAACAAACAGTTTTTGATTTAACTTATACTCATCTGGTGGTCAACTGTACTGGGTATAATGTAATGGATAACATTAGATTTTGCAAGAGTTCATGATAATGTTGAATAAATTGTTCTCCAACAAGCTTGAGATGTATACATTGAGAGGCCTTAACGGCAAGACAAACAAAACCATAATCTCTTTAACTCTGAAGCTAACATCGGAGCAGGCATCCTACAATTTGCTAAACAAACTCCATCCCTTTTGCCTGTAAACGATTTCCTATTATAAACACATGTTGGAGATGAATCACTCTTTAGCTCAACTCTCAGAGAGGACATTTCAGACAAGTTCCCCCTCCTGTTTTCCATTTGGCTGTTTAATTGTCTCAGCGCTGTCAACAGACTATCAAGGTAATTAGCCATGACTGCACAACAACACAATCAGACAGACAGGAATGAACTGCAGCCTCTGAACATGATACTTAGAGAGGGAATGGGTGGGAACGACTTAATGTGGGCGCACGTATGCACACACACGGGTGTGCACATATCCGGGTGCACACACACACACGCTGACACACACAACCCTTCATGCACAGTCATTACCGTACCCTGAGTACATAGTTCCATGCCACACATTATATTTCCTTCGCCAACCATAACCCTCCACCCACCTCCTCCTTAATCCTTCTACCTCTTACAACTCTCTCCCCCTCTCTCTCTCTCTCACACACACACACACACACACACAGTAACAAAACCAAAACCTCATTTCCTCTGTGCCTCGAGCTATAGGAGCAGTGTTAATTGTGAGAAGGTGGGGAGTGAGCAAGGGTGTGCTTTTGTGTGTGTGTGTGTGAGTCCACGGGTTCATGAGCTTTATAGGTGTGTGTAAGCCGTTGCAACTGTATATGTGTGCAATTCTATATGTGTGAGTGTGTGTGTGTGTGTGTGCTCATTTCTTTTAAGCGTGTAGGCAGGCTCTCCTATGCCAGTCTGGGCATAGCTCCAGGGTTTCCTGCGCCACCTGGGCATCTGTGAGTCCTAGTGCCTGTCACTGGGTACCGTCCCAGCTGGAGTGTGTATTTCTTAGTGTGTACATGGTTGTGTTTGTGTGTGTCAGCCGAGGAGGGGCCGCCCATGATGAGCCTTTAGTGCCAGCAGCAAACACCATTGTCTTATCCATGTCTTATCCTTTGAGCCACGGGGGCCCGTACACAAACACACATGCACACACACACACACACACACACACACACACACACACACACACACACACTCAGAGTGTACATCTGGTTCCCACCTCCGCCTTCTTCTCCACACACTGAATGGATTCTTCCCTTTGAAAAACATTACCAATAAAAAAAGACACAAGGAATTAAGAGAGGGGAAAAAGAATTCGATTAAACAGCCACCATTAAGTAGCCAATGAAGCTGTCCGTGCCCGCTTGCTTAGACTATACATACACCATTAGTTGATCAGGCCATGGCGGACTTAAAAGTACCCTGACTCAAAGGTCATCTACCTCCATTGAGCAGCGCTAATATTAGATTAGCTCTATAGCACTATGTGAGTAAAATAAGAAGGGCAGTCTTGGCAGATTGGAAAGCGAGAGATTATATTGACTCTGTGGCGGTCAGTGTCTCTGCTCTGTAGAAGCACAACTGAATTTACAGCTCTGATTACGAACATTTTTGTAAAAATAAAAAAAAAGGCTTTAATAATAAAGGATGTAAGGAGGGGTAAACCTTGCAAAACTTAGTTCACTAAGTGCCAAACCTGCCAGTATAATACTGAAAAGCAGTAATGGCACATTTGTGGCTGATACACAGAATATTTGTATGGCTTTTATGTAATTCATAAGACACATCAATAATAATGATAATAATAATAATAATAATAAGCCCTAAAGGTGATATAAAAATGATTCCATTAGTAGAAACTGTGTGTTTTTGCCTAATGAAGTCCAATTCAATGCTGTTGGTTATCTACCTTTTTTATAAACCACTACATTATTGGGAATAGGTAATAAAGTTAACAGCTGATAGCGGTAATTGGTAGTGAAGTTAATTTAAAGTAAATGATAAGGTAACAAAGTTAAGCAATAATACATTATAGAGTGCTAACATTGCTGTCAGTAAGCATGGGCATTAGTAACGCAGACAGAATTAATGACAACGACAACAAAGAGGGCAGAAGAGGAATAAAGGTGTAATAAAAGAACGTCCTTGGTCCTCTCCGTTGGTGAAATTGCCCTCAAAATGATGCATTCTCTCTGGATGATTATGGGAAAGCGTGCCAAAGCGTTGGTGCTGAAAACAATTCTAAGAGCTTTCAGGTAGCGGTCAACAGATTGCTGTGTACAGAAACACTTCAGGGTTGAAACAATACCCCCAGCCCCGGTACTTCTGGCCTCGGGCACCACAAACAACACACACACACACACACACACACACACACACACACACACACACACACACACACAAACATACACTCCTATGTTCCCTGCCCACTGTTGCCCCAAGGTTGAAACTCTAAACCTAATCACTCAGTACTCAGTGGAACCAACACTCCCGCACTCTACAGTACCAACCTAATCCCTCCACACATTTCTTTCTTGTGTATGCGGGGGTGTGTTTGTGTGTATGTTTGTATGTACGCAGAAGCTCCGTACCTTTGCAATACAAGAGCTCTCTTACTCTTGAGTGAAGATACTTGAGCTGTGGTGTAGAGAAGCATCAAAGTAAACTGCTGGAATGTGTGCTTAAATACTGCATGTGTTTTCCTATGGGTGCCTGTATCTGGTCTCAGTCTGTGGGTAGGTGTGTGTGTGTGTGTGTGTGTGTGTGTGTGTGTAACTTTTTTAACATGAACCTTTCTACCTATTATCAGATCAAAGCTTACATACAAACAAAACTGAATATACTAGGGATATAAGAATAGATAATATATAAAACAATAAATAACAATATTACACCATGTGCAGATACCACAATTAACAAAAATATTAGTTTTCACTGTCTTCTTGTTTTTAATATCTAATTGTGCTGCCATAATCAAATAAACAAAAGTGTTTGAAGTTCAATTTGGAGTCTATCCATTTCTATTTATGTATATGAATTCTTCACATTATTTCAACCAACTGGACAAAGAAAATAAAAGCCACGTCCATCTCGGTGTCTTTAAAGCAAAACCAAAAGTCCTTATTCTCTAGCTGGATGTTCACACTGGTGTTTCTGTGCATTTTCATCATAATCGCTCTTTGTGGATTGGTTGGGCTTTGCCAATCAGAGGGCAAAGGTTATGCAGGTTGGCAGCCATCTTGGAGGAAGCTGGCTCCTGCCAGACAAAATATAGCGAGGTGAAATCCTTGACAGTATATAAATACAGAAATACAGAAACAACTAAATATCGTAATGTGAATATGACACTCAAAAACACTCATACTGACTGTTTTCTGTTCTTTCTTTGACGCTTCAGCGGCTGTCACGTAGGAACAAAACGCTGCTAACTGGCCGAGAGGAACTAGCTAAAGTGCAGGATACAGCGCGTCTGAAAGGTAAGTGAATGATGGTATGGGCATTATTTGGACTGTTGCTGTGTTTGTGGGCCATATTACTGACTTGTTCAATGATGTTCTGTGGCCTACTTTACGCTTGCGGACAGTCTGCTGAACGGTGTGTCTGTTGTGTTTGGAGGAGTTTGCCACACTTTATTTTTATCCGTGTCGTTGATTGTGCCATCACCCACCCTCTGTACTCACTGAGCTCCCTATCTCGCTCTCTCACCCTCTCTCAAGCTAGACATTTGGAGGATATGGTTGTCGTACAGTGTACTGTTTGTGGGATTTGACATAGTGTATATTGTTTGCTGAGGGATTTCTTACTAATTTAGCCTCCTCAAGTTGCGCTGTAAAGCATGATACATTTTAATTAAAGTTTTGGATTATGTCTTTCCCTACTCATAATCTGAGATCCTTTAGTGTCTATGTTTAAGTTTGGTTACTCTCTCTCCCTGTCTTTGTGTGTAGTAGCTGTTTTTGTCAAGTAAAGCCCACTAAGAGACTTTAACATACAGTAACACAGCGTTTCTGTGATCCTGTTGGCAAGGTAGTTCTCTTATGGAGGAGGGGTAATGTATCATTTCATGGTGTAGGGACTGGATAATGACTCAAGCCCAGGGGCTCCATCTCAAGTCACCCCACCGCTTTTGGGTTTGTTCATTGTATACAGTATGTGCACTTTAGCCTTGAGAGGACAGTTCAAAATTACTTTTTGTTTGAAATAGCTATATGTTCTACAGGCCATACACACATAAATGTATCTCTCCTGTTTATGTGCGCACTTGTGTCCTTTTCTCTGTCTGTTCTTTAGTCTACAATGGCTTACACTTGTAGGCAACACATGTTTAAGTATTTGTCTGTGCAGAAATATATATGTATGCTTGAACTGACAGTGTGGGCATATATATATATAAAGTGTGTGTGTGTGTGTGCATGTGTGTGTGTGTGTGTGTGTGTGCATGTGCATGTGTGTAAGTGTGTAATAGGTTTGGGGAGTCAGCAGGGGTCCCGCGAGGCTGATTAGTGGACCCTACCAAATGTCATTAGGGTGTAATGAAAAAGCAGCCCTGGTACTAATGCATAATAAAGTGAATGGGCTGTTACATTACCACAGTGTCCAGACTACGCCTGTTGGCACATCAGCACTTCATTGGTTTGTATGCGTGTGTGTGTGTAGCAGCCCTACATCAAATGTCTGAGGAAAAAAAAGATGACGGAAACAAAGTTAGCGCTGTCAGCACGCCAGCATGAGTACGTAAGAGAGAGAGAGAGAGAGAGAGAGAGAGAGAGAAGGACTTTTCATTTGTGTTCAAATGGCATTTTCTTGATGCAAATATGGAGGTCAAATGAAGGCCAATGTTAATGTGTGCATACTGTATTTATGTATATGTGTGTGATCATATGTACATATGCAATTATCATGCAGTAGATGTATGTGTCTGTCCTTTTTGCATGTACACGTCAAGAAGTTCCTGTTTATCCAAGTTTGCTTGCCTCTATTTGTGTGTGCATACTGTGTATGTGTGTCTGCATCGGTTCTGTGACTCCATCTACATCTTCCAAGAGTAATATCAGTGGCAGGACCAAAGGAAGTGCTTTCATTCAGCGGTTGATACAGTAATCACAGTGAGGGAGAAGTAATAACTGTCTGCTATGCTGCCATTTAACTACTGTGGCCTTGACTTCACTATTGACTGCATTAGAGGCGTCGCATTGAGCTTCATTACACATTTGTGTGTCTGTGTGTGTGTGTTAAGGCCTTATGAGTAGTGCTGTGGAGTGCAGTGAGTGGTTGCTTATTGTGCCAGCAGTTAAATGTAAGAAGAGTATAGAAAAGCCCTGTCGCTCTGAAGCGTTAAACGGCTGTCTGTCTTCCTTGTTTCTCGACAGGGACCATAGTGAAGGGCGAACGAGGATGTGTGTGTAATCCATCCCCCCCCCTCAGTGTCTGTCACAGCATCATCTTTTTCTTTTCTAAGTCCCTCCAGAATGATTGAATATTTACTCTCATTTAATGTTACTGTCCAAAAGACATCGGGCAACAGAGACACACATATACACACTCACACTCACAGCCTACTCTACCCATTTAATTAAGCACTCTATGAATAATTCAGTTTGAGCCTCTGGGCTGAAGATAATTATAACGATCAGGATAATAATGTTTATTTTGCTTTTTATTGTATTAAGACATCAATATCTCTGCAGTGCAGTGTGGACAGTTTGCAGCAGTTACACTTCTAATGCCTGAAGCACCACCTCTAATCAGTATGGCAGAGTGTCTGTCTTTGTGTGAGTTTGTCGCGAGGGTTGGTGCCTGGAATATATGTGTGAGGTGAAGGTTATGAAGTTCTTAGAATTCCTTCATGATGCCAGACAGAAATGTATATAGCTGTTTATTTTATATTTTATATAACATCTAACTATGGGTTGATGACAATCCCAAAGATCGCCGGTTCAGTCCCAGCAATGTGACAATGACCTTGAAAATTGTGACTGTTCTCGTTCCCAGTAGAAATATCAGGCCCCATAATCCTCAGTTTAGCGGATCAATAATATATAATGTGATTACAGTCGGGCTCACTGGGCACAGCAGCTGTTCTCCACACTATGTGGCTTCTATCAAGTTCTGATTAGTCAATGATTGTCTATTCTTTGCCGGGCATATGGAATCAGCAGTCTATTCGCTGTCACTGTATAGTCATTGATTAACCCTGGCAACAGATGTGGGAACAGTGATTGTGCTGTATTGTTGGTCTGCACCCTGGCATATTGCAACACACAGGGTAGTCCTTCCCAAATGGCTGCAATTTGCCATTCTTTCTGAAGATTATTGTAAATCTTTTCTCCTTTTATTCTGTAGCCGAGAGGTTGAAGAAATGGAATGACACGGAGCTGAGTCATAAGCTAAATTTGATCCTGTGACGTATTTGTATTTGCATTGAGATGTAGTCTTCTGTAAGCTGCTATTCATGATTTCCTTCGTCGCCACACTTTAATGTATTGCTGTTTATAAAGTAGCAATTAACTTTGTCTTCTTGTCTTGTAGATTTGCTTTCTATCCATCCTTCCCTTCCATCCATACCACATTCCCACCCATCATCATCCATCCCCCCATATACACAAAAACACACACATCACATCTTCTATTAGGCCTGAGATCCTTAAAGTCTACCATTGATCCTTCTCTCTGTCACCCCCCCCAAAGCTCCAGGGCTTCTGTCCAGACACCCAGCCTCTCTGAGAAGCCTGGCCCAGTGAAGGCCTCTCCCTGTGGGCTTCAGCGGCAGGGAAAAGTCCATCTGCGGAGCTGGACCTGCCGGAGTTAACCCATCAGTCACTGGGGCTGATGGATGGGCCAGACAGACAGGGAGGTTGTTGGGGTACATGTAGACACACACACACACAGAAGCAAACTGAACAACAGATTGACAGACTGCCTGTGTGTGTGTGGCTGTGTACAAGTCTAAGAAACTTGAGAAACTTTCAAGTGCCTCTTGTGTCCCCTCAGCGTCCGCCTCATTTGATTAGTAGCCTTAAGGGGCCCTGTGGATCAATAACTGACTAAGGTAGCCCCCTACAGCTTTGCGCACACACACACACACATGCACAGAGCTCTGCAGCAGTTCATTTAGGCCAAGCCGTCAATCATCAAAGTGTGGACAGGTCCAGTCTGGCCCAGCCTATCTAGGACGCTGGAGGGGGCTTATGTTCGTGTGTGTGTGCTTATGCCGATGAGATATTATGTGTCTGCTTGGTCCATCTGTCTTGTGCGTGTGTGAGTACCAATTAGTTCATGTTCCCTGTTATCCCCGCCAATAATGGTACGTCAATAGGAGCAGGTCGGTCAAAGTCAATAATTCTGAAGTCAGACAGATTTTTTTTCCCCTTTTAATCCTCATTTAACCAGGTATGATAACTTAAGAAACGTTCTTATTTGCCTTGTAGGTCAACCACTGGGGGGAAAGTGTACATCGACATACACACACAGGCTGGATGATGTCACTACCCAGTACGATCACAATCCCCTACCACTGAATATTAGGTTAACTGCTGTGCTCAAGGGCACTTTGACATTAATTGTGGAGGGAGGTTAGAACATTTTATCATCCAAATTTTCCCATGTGGTCCAGTAATTGGAACGGTTGGAACAAAAGAACCATTAGGCGACCACCTGCAGCTTTATAAAGTGGATAAAAGACATTAAATAATAAAAACAGCATCTTTGTACATTTTGAATATTTAAATAAACACAACAAAGGCTTGTGTTTAATTATCCCTCAAGTCATATGTCCACTTTTGAGGCATTATGAAAGTCCAAAGCATATTTTTTAATATAAATATTAGAATATCAGGTCAAATTTGCAAGACCGCTCTGAGTCACAAATTAGGAACTCAAATAATATAAAACTTGACTTTGCCTCCACTGTTCTACCTGCATATCTTCAGCTCCACAGTGACTTCACTTGTCAGAATGTATATTCACTATCAAAGGCTGCAGGGCCGTTATCACGTCTTATCTTTCTCTTTGCTCTTCAAAACAAACTCAAGGTTGAGCGACAGCGAGGCAGATGAATAGCAACATCCTGTTTGGTGATCAGGAAATGTCAGTGTTATTGCAAAAGTGGTGCTTATTTAAATACCAGGTGCAATATAGTGTCTGGCAGGCTAAAATATGTGCGAATATGTCTCAATTAGATTAAACATTTAGCTCATTGTTATCAATTTTTAAGTCTTAAATTTAAACACAGTTAGGCCAGTGGTGAAGAATTTCAGTCTTGCATACAAGATTCCACAAAACCATGTGCAAAGCCCAATCTGATGTAATTATTTGGGGAATATTACATTTCTGAAGATTAAATGATTGTAACAAAGGAAACCAAGGCTTTTGAATGTACACAAGCTTCAAAGTCAGACCGAAAGGTGCAAATTCATCCCAACTGAAACCGACCTCAGTCTCTGGCATGTCACAGGGGGGTCAGCACTCAGTCCTAGTG